CTCCGACGCCGCCGCCCCTGCTCTCCGTCCCCGCTCGTGCCTCGTCGCCGCCGCTGCTCTCCGTCCCCGCTCGTGCCTCGTCGCCGCCGCTGCTCTCCGTCCGGGTACGTAATATATATATATATATATATATATATATATATATATATATATATATATATATATATATATATATGTATGTATATATATATATATATATATATTTATTTATTTATTTATTTATTTATATGTAATATTTAATTAATATTTTATATTTTTTGAATTTTATAAATTATTATTTTATATATTTCAAAATTTTAGGAATAATTGTGTATATATTTTTAATTTTATAAGTTATTGGGTAAATTATGAATTGTTGTGTGTATATGTGGAATTTTATGAAATATTATTTATATATTTTTAATTTTTAGAAATTGTTATCTATAAATGAGATGGAGAGAGTAGTAGTTTAGTTATTTAGGTGAAGAACGATTGAGCTAAAGAATTTGACAATTTATTTTATGAGATGACTTATAAATTTTAGTTTTACCTAATTTGAGCTAAATAATTATGAGATGGCTTATAAATTGCCTTAGAATCTAATTACTAAATAAAATGGAAAAGATAAGTTCTTTGTGAAATAGAAATGGAATTGTGTTGATATTTGAAAATTTAGCATTTATTATATATATATATATATATATATATATATATATATATATATATATATATATATATATATATATATATTGAATTTTAAGAATTAGTGTAGTTGTTGTAGTAGTTTAGTTATTTAGGTGAAGAAAGATTGAGCTAAAGAATTTGACAATTTCTTTTATGAGATGATTTATAAATTTTAGTATTACCTAATTTGAGCTAAATAATTATGAAATGGCTTATAAATTGCCTTAGAACCTAATTACTAAATAAAATCGAAAAGATAAGCCCTTTGTGAAATAGAAATGGAATTGTGTTGATATTTGAAAATTTAGGATTTATTTTGTATATATATATATATATATATATATATATATATATATATATATATATATATATATATATATATATATGTTGAATTTTAAGAATTAGTGTAGTTGTTGTAGTAGTTATTATATAAAAATTTGTTAAAATAGTTTTAACAAATGTTTAACTAGGGTTATTATTATTTTAGATTGGCTTGTGATGGATAAAAGTTGGATGAAAGCTAATCGACTTAGTCAGGAATATCAAGATGGAGTTAGAAATTTTTTACAGTTTGCAAAGAATAACCTTCCGAATAGTAATAAGAGGTTCTTCTGTCCTTGTACAAAATGTTATAATCAGAAAATGTTAGGTGAAGAGGACATATATGATGATCTAATCGTTAATGGGATTAATCCATATTATACACAATGAATTTGGCACGGTGAAAGCGATGTTGCTACAACATCTAACATGTATGTTGACAATGAAGATGATGAGTCTGAAGATCGGTTTGATGAAATGTTTCGCGATGTTGGAAAAGAGTTTACCAATCGGTCAAATGAGTTAGATGAATTATTGAATGATTCAAAACAACCTTTATGGCCAGGGTGTAGTAAATATACCCGATTATCTGCTATATTAAAATTATACAACTTGAAAGCTGGGAATGGGTGGGGCGACAAGAGTTTTACTACTGCGTTACTTAAAATAGTAAATGATATGCTTCCAGATGGTAATGAACTTCCCAAGAGTACGTATGATGCCAAAAAGATGTTGTGTCTGTAGGAACCGTTGGTAGAAAACAAATAATAATCAAATAAAAAATTGACTATTATTTTCTGGAAAGAAGGGAAGAAGAATTTGAAGAAAATTGGCTAGTGTTTGGTGTTGGGGTTTTGCAAGAGTCAAGTGTGCACTCTTTCCTTAAAACCTTATTTGACACCTCCCGTAGATGCTAGGAGCGTTGTGGCCTAGGCTTCCCAGGATAAAACTTGCTATGATCCAATGTTTGAGCATTCAAACAAAGGATCCGGCGAGCAAGACAATGGCTATGAACACAGTATAGCTAAAGAAAGAGTAGAAGCAGAGATTTTTTGAAGCTGGAAAAGTATACTTTCGTGCTGTGTAAAGCTGTGTGTAAAACTCTACTGCCTCTACCCTCTCTTATATAGGGTTGAAGGAGCCAATAGCCTTTATTATGGCAATTAAAAATGACATTAAAGCTGCCTTCCAACAGCTAGCCACTACCTGGGAATTGAAAAAGACAATTAATTCCGTAACAGATGAATTCAATCCCCTCAACAGTCAGAACTTTCGGGTTCTTGACCGTTAGCGTACAGGGTTCGGTCGCACCACAACCTCTCGTGCTCTCGGTTCGGCATAACTTAGCCCGCAAGGCCAGCCCCAGGTGCCGGCGCACACGAGCTCAGGCTTGATTACGGGTTCTTGACCGTTAGCGTACAGGGTTCGGTCGCACCACAACCTCTCGTGCTCTCGGTTCGGCATAACTTAGCCCGCAAGGCCAGCCCCAGGTGCCGGCGCACACGAGCTCGGGCTTGAATCAAGCCTTTTTCAATCTCTGCTAGTTGGAATTTGATTTGCAACCCCCCCCCCCCCCCCCCCCCCCGCGCGAGAGAGCCTCTATGCTATACAATTCTACAAGTTTCAAAAGAGCTCTTGTATATAAGGGGGGAAAATCTTTATTCCAAAGCAATGTGGGACAAAAGCTCACTTTTTCCCTTCATTTTCCAACTCAAATGGGTCTACTTTGAGAATCAATATCTCATTCACCCATTATCCGTTTTGAGCGTACAATATATCGATCTCTTCGTCTCACTACGAAGAATCCGAATCCACTTTAACCCGACCCAAATCGGAAGTGGACCCCACTGATAATTGTACCACAAAATAGCCACTTAACATGCCATTTTATGCCATTTTTAGCTATTTTTTCCAACAGTGTCCCATGGGTATGAGATACAAAAAGATACATGTTTGCCCTAACGATATCATTAAACTAGTGATGTCAAGTATTTATATATATTTTATGTCTTATATTAATAGGTGTATGACTGCAACAAACATGATGAGTGGAAAGAAACAAAATCGTTCACCAAAATGGACTATATGTTCGGTAAGTACTTCATTCACTTTGTAAAACATGCAAACTTATTGCTTTTTATTAATTTATTTTAATATTATTGTAATTCAAATGTAGTGTGCTATACAAAAAGGAACCACCGAATGTGGTTATTATGTGATGAAGTTCATGTTGGAAATTGTTTCCAACAATCTAACGAAAGGAATGGATAAGGCAAGTAATTTAATAATATATCTTTTTTCTTCAAATGTTTAAAAATACTTGCTTATTTATTATTTTTATTTCTTTTGAACTTTGTAGGCTTTGGAAAGACAAGGAAGATTGCCCTACAATAAACAAGAGATTGATGAAGTTAGAGACAAATGGTGTAAGTTTCTTATTGATGAATGGGTTAATAAAATGCTTCTTAGTTGATACTTTACGTTTAAAATTAGTTTATGTTTATTGGCTTGATGTTTAGTAGTTTTGTTGAATTGTGTTACTTATATTAGTTTTATGTTTAGTAGCTTGAATTAGTTTAATGAATTATGTTCTTTATATTAGTTTCATGTTTAATAGTTTGAATTAGTTTAATGAATTAGTTGATATTGAATGTTAAGTTGCTAGCTGCACAGGATCTGAAAATTGATACAGGTTGGTGTCGAAACCATAAAACAATTATAATATAAAAAAAATGTATATATACGACGTCGAATATTTACTAAATATCCGACGTCGTATTATTTTAAAAAAATAATAATAATAACATACGACGTCGGCTTTTAGGGTAAAGCCGATGTCGTATAGTTTTTAAAAATTAAATTAATTAACATACGACGTCGACTTTTCCTAAAAGCCGACGTCGTATGTTAATTATTTTAAAAAATAATAATAATAAATACTATATGACGTCGGGTTTTACCTAAAAGCCGACGTCGTATGTTAATTATTTTTTAAAAAAAATAAATAAATACTATACGACGTCGGCTTTACCGTAAAAGCCGACGTCGTATCATTTACTTACTACGTCTCTAAAGTCGACGTCGAAAGATAACCGACGTTAAATGAGGGTATTTTAACCGACGTTAAAACCGTTTTCTGTAGTAGTGAAAATGTATTACAAGTACATGTAAAATGTATTATAGGTGCAAGTAAAATTTACACTGATCATCAAAACTAAGTGAACCTGACGTTATAACTAGGTGCACATATAGTTATAAGTAGTTGCACCTAGGTGCAGGAATGTTTGCGGGCGATTTCACGGGTACTAACTACCCGTTGAACTCCCCGCAAGAACAAAAGCGATGCAGACAGCACGAACTCAGATCAATGAATTGAATGTTAACAAGACAAAATTATATGCACTTATAGGTGAAAGTAGGTGCACATGTAAGTGATTTTACAGGTAATTTTTACTTGCAAAGGTGCACCAACTACTTGCACATATAACACATTTACATGCACCAAAGTTCGAGTTATTTACAAAAATACCACCGCGATTTTTAAAAATTATATCTGATTCGTTGATCTGGACACGTAAATGATGCTGATCTATTCGCATTTCCTTCCTGAGCACTTATTCGCACAGGAGTGCGACCCTTTGCTCATTTGTTAAATTAATAATAATCCGTACATCACACGTGACACTTACTAGTTATATTACTGTAATATAATATAAAGTGGAAATATATTTTAAAGTGAAAAAGTATGGTAAGAAATTTAAGGATGTAAAAATATATTGAAAGAATTATAAATTTAATGATGTGTAATTAAGACTCATTTAAAAATAATAAGAGAATATTACAAGATTAAAGATAGTCTAATAGATTAGGCGAACCCGGTTGTAGATGCTTATACCCAGTTACCCGTTGTTAACCGCACTGTTTAAACAAATGAAGCGTCAAGGACTCGAGGGGTAGCGTCTAGCGTGGTGCCGTGGCGTGGGGTGAGTAGAAAAAGGCTTAAAAATAGAGAAAGGGCAAAAAGAAAAAGCAAAGAAAAAGCCAAAGCGCTCTTCATCATTCCACCATCTCTTATCATTTACCTCCCAACTACCCGAAGTCGTCTGCTGAAGTCTGGCGACGAGTCTGTTGGGTGAGAATTACGATTTGACTCACTCTCCCTCATCTCCTTATCTTGCTGCATTCCATTCTCAGACCCTCCCTTCTCTCAATTTCTATTATTTCAGTTGATGAACCCTAATCTAGTTTTTCGGGGTGTAATTTTCGAATTAGTCCTTTCTGGGTTTGTTTTTTAATTCTCTGTTATTCGTCTTTTACGATAAAGTTGAATTCTTTGGTGCATTTATTCTGGGAAGTTATAATTTTACTGATTGAGCGCTCATTTGTGTTGTTTTTTATTGTTTGTCTTTGCTGTGTAATTCAGGACATTGATTCCAGGGTTGTTTGCTTATAAGTATCCTTTTTACGATCGGGCACGCGCTTGATTCTCAGGTGGCTTTCTGATTAAGATCTCTTCATCACTGTTCCAGTTCCTCTTGATATTTTTCTGTACAGAGAACGATGAGAACGATTCACACTTGTTGGTTAGATTCTATTGTTTTTGTCTTTAGTGCTGTGTTGAAGGGGTGGTTGTAACTTGGCCTTGGCAATGTACTACTTAGTACTGTCTAACTTCTGAGTGAGCTAAGAAGCTCTTATTTAGGAGTAATTAACTTTTAGTTCTCATAACACAATATAGTAGAGAATATATATATATATATATATATATAGATAGATAGATAGCCATGACAACGTAGGAATGTACTTATGTATTGCCTTTAATCATATGAAATTTGGCTCCATGATAACCAAGGATAAGCATAGTTTGTCTAAACTCATACTTTCTGCAAATCTTTATTTTTAGCTATGTATTTTAATTTAGTGCCTATTGCCAGTTTCGATTTAGTTACATACTTACATGTCTGGTTATTATATAAAAATGAATATGATTTTAGGTAAGGGCCTCAGCTCATTAGGTAGCACTGCCTATTTTATTGATGAACACATACATGTTAACAAGATTTATAGAGGTCAATCACCAAAAGATTCTGTGCTATGAAATATCTAAAACTTTGTTCTTCATTTGCATCAGCAACTTTATTTCGCCATCTTTTGCTTTATTTATAAGAAACATGTTTGAACATATCCCACTTTCAGTATGATATGGAGTATATTTTACCTGCGAATTTGGCTTCTTTTCTCGTCCTGAATGTCTTTAATTTGCTATTGCTTGCTTTATTTGTATAAAATTAATAACCATATTTTCAAAATGTTATATTTTTGCAAATATGGGTTGCATTTGTTAACATTGGTTCTCCTATCATTTACTTGCCCCTATTTCTGTTCCAGATGAATTCCAATTCAGAAGATACTTCTGGCACTCTTACATCCTGTGTTTTATGTCTGAGAATCCTGACATCTGACAATGATGCCAGTGATGTTGACTCTATAAATCTGTGTAGTGATTGTAAGTTCTTGCTCCTAGAAGATCTTGATTCCCCTATACGAGATGTGTATCGTTGGAGGACATCTGGGTTAAGAAGAACAAGGTATAATAGCAGATCTGAGTCCATTGAGAATCTTTTTTCACAACAGTTCTCACGTATGATTAATTTGGCAAGGCAAAACCAGGATAACAATTTGGAGCATGATGATCATTCTTTTGATGGAGATGCTAGTGCAAGGTCATGGCGGCTAACAAGTTCTCGCAGCACTCCCAGTGGACCTAGGAGGTGGAGGTTAACAAGAACAAGGTATAATAGCAGTTCTGAGTCCATTGAGAATCTTTTTTCACAACAGTTCTCACATTTGATTAATTTGGCAAGGCAAAACCAGGACAATAATTTAGAGCATGATGATCATTCTGTCAATGAAAATGCTAGCACAAGGTCATGGCAGCAAACAAATTCCCGCACCACTCCCAATGGATCTAGGAGATGGAGAGTGCCTTCTGATACTGAAAGCGATGTAATTGATTCTGTCTTTTCGGAGAGTGAATCAAATCTCAGCTTCAGTGGCTATAGGGTTATGCATAGTGAAAATGAAACCGTTTCCTATAGTGCCTATGGAGGGAGCTCTACTGCTTCTGTTGATGGTAGTAGCTTTCTTGGCATTGGAAATTCGGCAGATGAAGGAAGTGATCTTGACACTGATACTGATATTGACCCGATGCGTGCTGGTATGTACCCTTGGGACTCGGATCAAGAAGAGGATGACAATGAATGGCAAGAGGCTGATAGTGAGGAAAACACAGTTGGTGTTCTTGGCGGTAGATCTCTGCAAAGGTCAGTAACATTGCATGAGAGCACTTGGGGAAGACTGGGCATTCTTTCTGCAGAATTTGAGGGTACAATTGATTCGAGAATTCAGGAGAGGATTCGAGCACAAATCGCTGGCATCTCTAATGATCTCGAGGAATTGGAGCTACACGCTAATTTTGTGGATGCAGACTATCTAGATGCCCGAGGGCTTGATGAATTGGTCGAGCATCTTGCTGAAACTGATGGTTTTAGAAGAGGAGCACCACCTGCAGCAGTCTCCGTTGTAAACAGTTTGCCACGTATAGTTATTAAAGATCACAAGCAGCTTGATGACTTGGCTTGTGCAGTATGCAAAGATTCTCTATTTGTAGGAACTGTTGTAAACCAACTTCCTTGTTCTCATGTTTATCACCCTTCATGTATCTTGCCATGGTTAAGTTCAAGGAACACCTGTCCCCTTTGCCGATATGAGCTTCCAACCGATGATCAAGATTACGAGGACAGAAAACTGAGGAATGGAAACGAGTTTGCGATTCGTGAAACTCAGCAGCACGACATGAACGAGGGCAGTTCCTCAGACGATACTGAAGCAATGGAACCTCGTGAATTTGGTCGTGGAAGAACAGAGCAAGGGGAAGTCACGAGTATGAGTGGATCCAGCACCCAAACTGCCCGGGGGAGATGGTTTTTTCTAGCTGCTGCAGCACCCGTTATTAGTGTTGTCGGTATTGCCATTGCGTTGTGGTTTGGCAACCCATTGACAGAGCAGAGTAGGTCAAGCATCCTTCGAGCATTGTGTCCTCACAGAGAGCCTTCAAATCATGCTCCCCATTCACAAAGAGTGAACAACCGAGAAAGGAGATGGTGGTCTCCGTTTTAGCGTCCTCTATAATAGCTCAGTTCATACTCCGAATTTGATTACTCCAAGTCACCCATCTGTTTTAGGCAAATCCACGAAGTTTGGCCTCCTTTTTTTGCGTGTTGCCCTTTCCACTTTTCCAGTAAGTCCAGGTATTGGGTTGTGTTGTGTTATGTGTTGATTGCATAGGCAAATTTAAGGCATAAGTGAAGGCAACTGTTGTTGATTTTCTGACATGTATTGATTTCTGATCACATTAATAACAATGTCAGCTGGCTATTTTGGTGAGAAAAAAAAATTGGAAAATGACATTTAATATAAGCACATTAGTCCCCTCAATTTTTTTAAAAGTGGCGATTTTTCTCCCTTGATATATTAAATAGACATTTCTACCCTTAGGAGGCGTTTGGTTCAGGTCATTTTTTATTACCTAGGTAATCTGAGTCTGGTAATGTTATATTACCTTGTTTGGTTCAAGTTATGAGATTACCTGGTAATGTTATATCACTTGAAAGTTGATGTGACGGTAATATTTCAAGGTAATGTGATTACCCCCATTTTTTTAGGAAATCTTAGATTACCTTGAATTATTCTAACTTTGCCCTTGTTAACTAATCCTTATCCTTATAATAATAATAATAATAATAATAATAATATTAATATTAATATTATTATTATTATAAATAAATAAAATAAATACACACACATAAATTATATATATATATATATATATATATATATATATATATATATATATATATATATATATATATATATATATATTATTGAGGACATTATTGTAAATTGATTCATATAACCTAAAATATAACCCTTAACCAAACACGATAACACATATATATATATATATATATATATATATATATATATATATATATATATATATATATATATATATATATATATATATATATATATTATTGAGGACATTATTGTAAATTGATTCATATAACCTAAAATATAACCCTTAACCAAACACGATAACTTTGTCCTTGTTAACTAATCTTTATATAATAATAATAATAATAATAATAATAATAATAATAATGATGATGGTGATGGTGATGGTAATGGTGATGGTGATGATGATAACAACAACAACAATAACAACAATAACAACAATAAGTGAATCCAAGTTCCTTGATGCCTACTCCGCTGTTCAGTTCTTATTCTTACTGGAACCGAACCTTAAATTTTTTAATTGATTTCTTTATAGCTTGTTTTCTACATTGCACTTTTGTTGTTTGTCGTAATTGTTCTTTACCTCACAATTATATCTAACTTGAGTTATATTTACAATATTCAGTATTTTCCTTAGTTTCATGTTTTTCTATAAATTATTAAATTTAATGTGCTTTACAGTCATTCTAATTTGATTTTCAGTGCACTATAATTATTTTCTAGTACTGGAATATATTTTGAGTGCACTAGCAATGATAGATTGTGTCCAAAAATTAACTATATAGTAATTGACACTTGTTCTTTTAATATCAACTATACAGATAGATGATTATTCATCTTATCAATAAAAATATTCCAACTGAACCAACTGAAGAGTTAGTTGTGCAAAAACGTTAACTGATGTTTGGTAATTAGTACTTAGTATTGTGTTTGAACTTTGGATTGCTATTTTGTTATATAATGTTTAGAGTTTGAATTTGGATTATGTGAATATGTATTGTTTGGTAGTATGTTCGAAAAATTAGGAAATGTTTGAAATTTGAGGATCTTAAACCGAACCAAAAACCGAACTGAATTAAAACCGAACCGAACCCTAATGTTAAACCGAAAAACCGAAATAAAAAAAAAAAACGAACCGAAACCCGAAACGCCCACCCCTAATTATAACCTCATGAAAATTTCTTAATTACATAGTTATAATTTATTATTATTGTTGTTGTTAAGGGCATATTGGTTTTTATGTTCATAATTCCTTACTATTCAAAACCCAATCAAACAATAGAATTCATATTCATATTCTTGGTAATTTCTTTTCCACTAACCAAATAACAGAAATTATCTAGTAATTTATTTTTTTATAAAATTATCTAGTAATTTATTTTTTATAAAATTACAATTTCATTTTTCTTTAAAATATTTTTCAGGAACCAAACGGGTATTGAAAATCTTATTTTCTTTCGTTCAGTTAGGAAATCATATCCAATCTCAACCTTGTCAATACCTGCTAGAAATCATATCCAATTTCAACTGTTGTTAAGTCAGGATTACAACAAAGTTCATACGGAAAATATGCTCTCTTTTTTTAATAGATAAATTATAAGAAAATGAGGATTGAATTGGAATGTACAATTTAGAGTGCATTAAATTAAGAATTGTGATCTTATAGATTAGAATATAAATTTTACATATATTGAAAAAATGTTAGGTTTATGAATGTTAAAAATTAAAATGGAACGCTTCATGACTAGCAGATTTCAACAATGAAAAAGTGTTATTATTTTTGTAAGGGGAATGATAGTTGGACTTCTTAAATTCAATAAAAATTGTAACTCACTTTTTTTTTTTAGATAAATAAAAATGGTCATGTCAAAATAAAATAAAGTAAAAAGTAAAAGTACGTGTAATATAACTTTTGTAATTAATGAATTTATATGATAATGACACAAACTCATTAAGAGACACACTTATTTAACACATTAAAATTACCCTTTTTATACAAATACACAAACTTGTAACACTACAAGTTAACAATATGTTAATGACACGTTTACTATTTAAATATTTTTATTTAGAATAATACGGAGTACAAACAACAATACAACAAAAACAATTATAATAATAAAGTTAAAATTTTTATTTATCGAGTAATCTTTTAGATATTTTGATCATTCATAGTAGTTTATAATTTTTTATTTTTTTTTTTAGCTTGTAAACAACAACTACTAATACTATTGAAATGAAATTAGAATATATATTTGCAATATAAATGTATTCATTAAAATTTGTATGTAATTTATGATGTATTTTATTGTAATACTATTATAATGTATTTTATTTTGGGGAAAAGCTCATTTTTGTTTTTCAATTGTTCTTGTGCTATAAATGTAGTCCTTACATATTAATGGGTTAACCCTAATTCTCTCGATTGTGCTTTTCGACTACTCAAATTTCTACACGATCACTGCCTTCATGAAATAAGCGGATCGGAGGCGGCGTCCAATCATCTTCCCCTGCCGCCATTTCCACCGCAGATAGCGTCCGCCTTCATTATTTTCTCTGCCTTCACCGTTATTTCCTGCCGCCATCACCACATTTGCACGGTTATTTCCTTTTACTTTGTTTTACTGGTTTAATTCTGTTTGCCGTTTCTGTGTTTTTCCTCTCGTTGTTTTGACGAGTTACTTCCTCTCATTTACTTGGTGAGTTCTTTTTCCATAAAGCGTGAAACGATAAAATTGGTTATGACGTATGTGAATCTCATCCTGGGTGACAAACATAACAATGAAAAAGAGACTCTTCTCAACTATGATATGCAGTTCAGTCCGATGGAGTTATTGTCAATGGATAGAAGAATGAAAATAGATACTCAGGTGGTGTACAAGACTATTCAAGCACCGTCAATCTTGGATACGTTTGACCAAATCATTAAAGAAGTTTTAAATTCCTCCAAAGAATCCAGCTTCAAATTTGTAAAACAGTCTGCGAATCAAGTTTTCTTTAGTATTGTTAAGGAAGTTGTTTCTATGTTTGACTCTAAGGAAAGTTTAACCATTCTATTGATATTTGTTGTAAACGTTTCAACCGATGATTAATGAATTAACTTCTTTATTTAAAATAATAATAATAATAAATGTAGTCCTTATCTTTCAATTGTAATCTAACCCTTCAATTTTTAATCTAGTTGCAAATTAAGTCATTGTATTTCAATTGCTATATATCTAATCTTTCAAATTTTGACCTAATTGCAAATCTAGCCATTAATTTAAAGTACTAGATTTGTAAATCAATCAACAATTAAGGTTTACAATTGGATTAACAATTAAATAACTAGACTAGATTTACAATAATTGAAATAGAGACTAGATTCATAACTAGATCAACAATATTTTTTAAAAAAATATAGATTTTTAATTTCTTTTGGGAGAAAGAGATATATATCATTAAACTAGGCATTATCAGCGAGTTAAATTCACGCAGATGTACTAATGTGTTGTTATTTTCTCTCAGAAGGATGAATCCCTAGTCTTAAGGGCCCACGATATGTTGTTATCTCAACTTACAAAGTGGCGAACGGTCCTATGTTAAATTGCTTATGCAAGTGCGTACGTTATCTGTAGTTCTTCACCATCTCGTTATCATTTCACCGGAGTTGTCTGTTGAAGTCCGGCGACGAGCCTGTCGGGTGAGGATGACGACGATTCATACCCCAATTCTCTTCTCCTCCTCCTCTTAATGCATTCAATTCTAATAAGTCTTCTAGTTTTTGGATTTGCGTTCTCTGAATTTGACGGTGAACCCTAAATTAGCTCTCTGGATTTTTATTTTTATTTTTATTTTTTTAATTCTCTGTTATTCGATTGTTACGATAGAGTTGAATTCTGTGATGCATTTATTCTTCGAAATTACGAGTATAATTTTACTCATTGAGCACTCATTTGTGTTGTATTCTATGGTTTGTCTTTGTTGTGTAGTTCAGAATATTGATTGCAGAGCTGTTTGGTTATAGCTATCCCCTTACTTCAGGCACGTTATTGATTCTCAGGTGACCTTTCTGCTTAAGACCTTTGGAATTACTGTTACTCTTGTTCAATTCTTTATAACCAAAGCTATATTGCTTTTGCTTTGTAAAAAGGAGTTGGAATTATTGATTAGATTCTGTTGTTTTTGCTACATCATATATTTTGTTTAGCGTGTTGAAAGTGTAATATTGAATTTTTGATAATGTACTGCATAGTTCTAACTTCTGAGTGAGCTAAGAAACTCTTATTTAGGAGTACTTCAGTTTTAGCTCTCATAACATACTGATGGGCTGCAAAGAAAATGCCAAGTACCACCCATCCATTATAATATATAAAAATTAGCCATGATCATATACCATGTATCACTCGTTAACCAATGGTATGCAATGTTTCTATAAACTCATTTGTCACAATTCTTTTCTTTTAGCTTTCCTTTTGAGTTAATACCCAATTTAGTCATCGACTATAGTGGTTTTTCTCAATTTAGTCTTAAACGTCTTTTTGTGCTTAATTTTCTCAATTTAGTCTTAAACGTCTTTTTGTGCTTAATTGGGTCCTCGACTTCGATGATTTTACCTAATTGAGTCCTCTGTAACTATAGCTTGGTAATTTCCCCTCTGTTAATGCGCAATTTAGTCTTCCAATATAGTGGTTTTGCCCAAATTAGTCATTGACTATAGTGGTTAATAGTTTAATACCCAATTTAGTCCTTCACTATAGTGGTTTTTTTTTTTTTTTTTTTTTTTTTTTTTTTTTTTTTTTTTTTTAATTTAGTCATTTATTCTAATAGTCGAGGACTCAATCAGGTAAAACTATCAAAGTTGAGGACCCAATTAAGCACAAAAAGACGCTTAGGACTAAATCTAGAAAAAACCACTGTAGTCGAGGACTAAATTGGGTATTAACTCCTTTCCTTTTTCTTTAATACCTATTGGCAATTCTATGTAGTTACATGTCTGGTTATTATATTAATCAGTATGTTTTTTAGGTAATGGCGTCAGCTAGTTATGTAGCAAAGCCTATTTTAATGAATGAATACCTCTAAAACAAGTGTTATAGAGGTCAAACTGCTAGAAACTATCTGAACTTTGGATCTTCATTCACTTCAACATCTCTAATTAACTAGCTTGCCCTATATAGAACATATACATATATACCACATTGTCAATGTGATATATTTTACTTACAAATTTGGTTTTATTTTTTCCTAAATATCTTTAACTAGCTATCTCTTGCTATATTTTTCTGAAATTAATAACCATGTTATTGGTTCGTCATATTTTACCAATAAATGTGGGTTGCATTTGTTCATTACATTGGTTTTACTATCATTTACTTGTGGCTATTTATGTTCCAGATGGATTCCAATGCAGAACAGCAAGAAGATTTCAGGTTCCAGCTAGAAGGTTTCAGGTCCCGGCTAGAAAATATGAGGTCCCGGCAAGTACATTTCTGGTCCAGGCAATTACTTACTATGTATCAGCGTATCTTAGTTTTAATCATGGCGCATCCAGAATATCTCAGGTTCCGAACAAGTTCTCTCACCACTGGTAACAGTGGATCTTGGCGGAGGAGACCAGGTAATGTTTTGGTTGTGGTAGAAGATCTCTGGTCCCAGCTAGAAGATCTCTGGTACCAGCAAGATTTCAGCTCCAGGCAATTAGTTCGCGTGGGTCTGCGTATCATATCCTTTGTCACGTCCCATCCACAATATCTCAGGCCCCCAACAAGTTCTAACACCACTACCAGTTTGAGAATTCATGAGAGGATTCAAGCACAAATTGCTGGCATCTTTAATGATCTTGTGGAATTGGAGCTACAGGCTAATTTTGTGGATGTGGACTATCTAGATGCCCAAGGGCTTGATGAATTGGTTGAGCATCTTCCAGAAACTGATGGTTTAAGGCGTGGTGACATGAGGTCCCTTGCAGGTTCTCGCACCACTCCTAGTTTGAGAATTCATGAGAGGATTCGAGCACAAATTGTTGGCATCTCTAATGATCTTGAGGAATTGGAGCTACAGGCTAATCTTGTGGATGTGGACTATCTAGATGCCCTAGGGCTTGATGAATCAGTTGAGCATGGCTTAAGAAGAGGAGCACCACCTGCAGCAGTCTCCGTTGTAAACAGTTTGCCATGTGTGGTTATTAAAGATCACGAGCAGCTTGATAACTTGGCTTGTGCAATATGCAAAGATTCTCTGTCTGTAGGATCTGTTGTAAACAAACTTCCTTGTTCCCATGTTTATCACCCTTCTTGTATCTTGCCATGGTTAAGTTCAAGGAACACCTGTCCCCTTTGCCGATATGAGCTTCCAACTGACGATCAAGACTACGAGGTCAGAAAATGGTGTAGTGGAAATGAGTTTGTGGTTCGTGAAACTCAGCAGCATAACATGTACGAAGGCAGCTCCTCAAATGCCATTGGTGATGCCGAAGCAATGGAACCTCGTGAATTTGGTGATGGCAGAACAGGGCAAGGGGCAGAAGTGATGAGTATGAGTGGATATGGCAGAACCACCGAGGCTCAAGAATTGGGTCATGGGAGAAATGTGCAAGAAGAAGCAATGAGTATGAGTGGATCCGACACAAGAACCACCCAGCGGAGATGGTTTTTTCAAGCTCTGGTAGCACAAGTTGTAAGTTTTGGGGGTATTGCCCTTACATTGTGGTTGGGCAACCGCAACCAATTCACAGAGAAGAATAAAGTGTAAATAAAGTAAGAATTCAAATTGCATTATTTAATAGGAAAGAATAGAATTATTGGGGATGAGAAAAGAACAAGTGATATATAAAGACTAAAATGTTGGTGTAAATAAAATGTCAGGTCTGGTGGCCGTTGAGGAGAGAAGCCTGCCCACAAGCCTTCTATAAACACCTGCATTCTTTAAGTAAAAGATCATCATCATGTGTTAACTGTTGCCCTGGCACTATGAGAGTACTCACAGGCTTGCACTCTAAAAACCCTTTTGACACAAGTTGAGTCCACTGGGAGATCTAGAAACTTCAATTCGTAGAAAATAACTCAATGTGCCTAGGTCCTTTATTTTAAAGGTAGAATCTAGAAATTGTTTCAAATCATCTATTAGACCGAGCTCACTTCTAGCCACTATAATATCATCCACGTAAACAAGGAGTGCAATAAATGTGTCACCAATGATCTTAATAAAGTGAGATGGATCAGATCTTAATAAAGTGAGATGGATCAGATTTTGCCTGCGTAAAGCCAACAATTAATAAAGCTGCCGTAAGCTTAGCATTCCGCTGCCTACTAGCTTGTTTGAGACCATACAAAGATCTCAATAACTTACAAACTTGGTTTGGCTTTTCGCAGCAAATTATATCGTGCACCGCGGTGCATAATCGATTATGTACCGTGCATCAAAACGACGTCGTTTTGTTTAATGAAAAGAAATGGCATCCGTTTTGCACCCTTTCGCAAAAAGTAACTCAGTTATTCAGTTTCATTTTGTACATACTCCACTTTCAGTTCAACACAACTATAGTTTCATTTCGATATAACTACAATTTCATTCGATATTTATAGATTCAAATATGTGAAAATGTTATTTAATTTTATTTTATATACAATATAATTTTATTAAAACACAACTACATGATCATTTTGATATAATTACAGATTCATTGTACAATATACACTCAAATATATGAAATGTTATTCAGTTTCATTTTATATACACAGTAGTTTCATTTCACCACAACTACAGTATCATTTTGATATAACTGCTGTTTCATTTGATAATATAAAAATAATACGTGAGGCAGTGTCGGTTTAGATACACTATAGTGTCAGTTGGTAATTAACATACAAAAAAACGCGTGCTCTGTTAACACTAACGGCGCGCCGTTTCTTTACTTAAAGAAATGGTGCTGTTTTGGCCGCAGTGTACGTGCACTGCGGTCCACGATATAACGACCCGCTTTTCGCTGTGAAAACCTAGTGGAAGAACCATGTAAACTTCTTCATCTAAGTCCCCATGAAGAAAAACATTATTGGTGGATGTGCCATCCTTTAGTCAACGCTACTGCCAAAGAAGGTTCTAATGGTACCCATTTTTGCCACAGGGAAAAAAACCTATGCAGTCTATTCCCAACTGTTGAGTATAACTTTTGACTACCAACCTAGCCTTATATCTTTCAATTTAACCATCTGCTTTGTACCCTATTGGAATCTTTCGAGGAGGTAAGTCGGTAAGTCAGTGACGGTAAGTATCCATGTTTTTATCTATGCTTGCATTGCTTGTTGCCAACACTCAACTTGGTTATATGTCTTGGGCTCAATATTAGATAAAATAGCATGTGCCACACAACCGCTACAAAGCTCGAAATGCGCCGCTCTAATACCATACCATGAGGAGAAATTACGCAGCAATACAGAATAGTATACACAAAGTAGAGAGAAGGTAGCTCTTCATATATTGATAGAAGAAAAGAAATAAATCTAACTACAGAATGCTTATTTTCACAGGAAGAGAAAGATCCATGTATTTATACAAGGAGAATAACCAAAAAATTACAATATTTCCCAATAACCTTTCTTAACAAACTAGAGAAACTACATGTAGTTCCTCAACAGATTCTAGTGCTTAGCTGCTCAACAGATTCTGGTACTAAGGTGCTGAGCTGTGCAGAGATCTTCTCATGTGTGTTGCTGCTTATGTATTCATTTGTATTTATAAAAGGTAAGTCATGTATGTATTCATTTAATTTGTATTTATTTACCGTATTATCTCTCATATAATGTACCGTATTCTACCTGGGAAAAAAGAATATAAAAATAAAAATGCATTCCTGAGATTTTCAATTTTCATTTGATGATTAGTTGTTGAATTCATGATGTTTTATGTTAACATGGTGAATTCAACAACTAATCATCAACTAGTCATGGTGATTAGGGACTCAATTGTAATTTTTTTAGTTTGATGGTCCAATTGCCTATTTGTGCATTATTTCAATTATAAAATAATACTCATTTATGCTATTTCATATTCTAAATTTACTATAAGATTATCTCATTCAAAATATAGTAAAAAATGTATACTTCAATATACAATGCTAAATGCTCAATACTCACAAATTTGCTACTCCCTAATATGACAAGTTTTAATACTTTTGTTTGTTTGTTTGTTTTTTGTTTGTTTGTTTGTTTGTTTGTTTGTTTTTTTTTTTGTTATTTCATTTTGAAATAAAAAAAAAAAAGAAAAAAATAACAAAAACAAACGTATTAAAACTTTCCATATCAGGGAGTAGCAAGTTTGTGAATGTAGAGACATATAGTCCTATCATACGTGACACGTTTTACGTTACAGATTAACTTCAATTATAAATTTCATGATTTTGTGACTTTTAGTTTTAAATGATATAGTCCTATCATACGTGGCCGTGGCCTAATGGATAAAGTACTTGATTTTCTAATAAAGCGATTCAAAATTTTTTTTAATCACGTTAGTCACTATTACATGACGTAATGAAAGCCCAATAATTTCCTCCAACTTATGATCTTTACGTTGTGGGTTCGACTCAAATTTCCTCCAATATTTTGGTTGTTTAATTATTATAGGTTTTAGTTATAAGACTATTGTATATGAACGTTACTAGAAATATATTGTTATTATATTTTTCTTAGTTATTTATTGGAGTTCTCACATATTTGAAGTGTGAAATTGAAATATTTTGTGACTTCAATACATTAAGGAAGCGAAAGCCTATTCGAAATGCTTATAATATGTTACAATCCTATTAGGGTCATAACAACAAGCTTGTGCACCTACCCTTTGTATCCACGATCTTTGAGTGCTCTACAAGCCCTATAGGCTCCATGCTCAGGGCGCTCTGATCTGTTGATCTGCCCAAGCTACAAGTGTCTTATGTGTCTAATCGTTGGCCATTGTCTTCTTGTCTCGTGGGTCGGATTTGAGATATTTGGTGCTCTTTGTAAAAAAAAAAAAGGAGCTTCTAGCTATGTGCGCTCCTATCTAGATTGATGGGCTTCCTTCTATCTAAGTGGACTGCATGCTTGGGTTTTTGGATTTTTCCAAACTAGTGGGCCTCAGGTAGGCACTTTACTAGCTACCATTGGGTTTTGGCCATTGGATTTTGAGAATGCATGGAAGGCTGAGTTTTTTTTTCTTCTTCTTATAATTGGTTTGACTCTTTAAATTAATTAACCAGTTTATTATCTATAGCCGGTGGGGAGGGGGGGGGGGGGGGGGGCGTAATTTGGTCATTTCTGCCATCAATGTATCTGGTAAGGTAGTATGTTTTTTGTTTTGTTCTCCTGTGCTTTGGGTTAAATTTTTTTTCCCTGTTGTCGTTGACAGTTAGAGTGTTTGTTTAAATCACTGGTTCGGCTACATTTACTAGGGCTTCTTTTTTCAGTCCAATGATTGCATATGTGTTTGAGTTTCGGTGGGTTTAGTGTTCGTTTTGGGTGTTGGAGTGTAGTGTGGTGGTCAGTCGGGTTGTTGGTGTAATTGTATTCTTGTTTCCTTCTTCATTATCTGTCATTTTTTTTTTTGGTAATGAATTTATGTCGTAAAACCTAGTGTTCATTAATGGCGGTGTTGAATACTCGGTGAGTCGTGGTTTGGGCGTTTGCGTAGTATTATTTCAATTTTATTGGTTTAGCGTTTGTTTTCCAGTTCTCGTCATTAGTGTTTTTTTTGTTTTGTTTTGTTTTTTTTTTTTTTTTTGTTTTTTTTTTTTTTTTTTTGTTTTTTAACTAGCTTTCATTACGTGGGTATGGGGTTGTGCTATTTGGGTGCACTGTCGTATTGTATATTCCAATTTATGACAAGGGATATGTATGTTTATGTGCTTGTAGAAATATCTTGCGTTCTGGATAGTTTGTGTATTAGCTTGTGTGCATTGTTTTGACTGTTTGTGAACACTTTTTTTTTTTTTTTTTTGAAGATGTTTGTGAACACTTTTTAATTTGTTTATTGTGTATATTGTATTTTTATAGTTGTGTGCATCGTGGTGGGATGATGCGTGCACTTTGGAGGTTAGGTTGTATATTGTGTGTGTATGTGGGTTTGGTAGGGTTTGAGTTTGATTGTTCTGTTTTTTTTTTTTTTTTTTTTTTTTTTTTTTTTTTTGGCGATGGTAGAACTCTTATGCGATCATGTTGGGGTTGTGTATCAGCTTGTGTGCATTGCTATGTCATAATATGTGCAAATTTGGTTTGTTGTGTATATGGTTCTTTTGTTATTCTATGTATCTGGGTGGTATGATGTCTGTTGGTTAGGATTGTGGTTCATTGTTATGCTTCCTTTTTTTTTTTTTTTTTTTTTTTTTTTTTTTTTTTTTTTTTTTTTTTTTTGGTTTTGTTTTGTTTTGTTTTTTTTTTTTTTTTTTTTGTTTTTTGTTTTACAGTTAGTTCCCACTTGCTTTATGGGAATCATGTGCCCACATGCTTTTGTATCAAATTATGTGCATTGTTTAATTTTGACTATATGTGTGCACTTTTTGTTTATTGTGCACATGATATTTTTATAGTTCTCTGCATCATGGTGGGATGATATGTGCACTTTGGAGTTTTTTTTATTGTATGTTGTGTGTGTATGTGGTTTTGGTAGGGTTCTGATGCGGTCAGGTTGGGGTTGTGAATCAGGTTTTGTGCATTGCTATATCTTAATTTGTGCACATTTGGTTTATTGTGTATATTAGAGATGTCAAAAAGGGTCACCTCACCCCATATCGGCTAAGCTGAAAACGGGTTGAGCCTGACCAACCCGTTTCCTATAGGTTACGCAAATTGTAACCCAGCCCGGCAACCAATTGGCTAGCGAGCTAAAGGGGCCTACATGTTAGCCAAATTATTATTAATTATTTAATGGTTTTTTTTTTATAATTTATTTGTTAAAATATTAAAGTGTTTGTATAAGCCAAGATTCAAACGTTCAACCTCAAAGTTAATGTTAGAAACAAATGTAAATTAGATTTGGATGATTCCAAAATTTAGGAATTTTAGTCCTCAATTTATTTTATTTCTTAGACTTAGGAACTCGTTTTCTCAATTCGAATAGTCTGAATGGTTACGTTGCAGATAGCCAAAGACTAAGCTACGAAGGATTGAAGATCAGAAGAGTTCAAGTTGAAGACTCGAAGAGTAGACGACTTGACGGAAAGGTTGCAAAGGCCGAATGGTAGAAGGGAGTATCTTTCGAGTAAAAGGGGATTTGAGAAGTAGCTCGAATAGTAAGGACAACTATTTGAAACTGAAAGGTTGCAAGTGTTAAGGTTCGAAAATTTAACTCGAATAGTAACAGTTAACTGCTCGAGACATTCTCTGAGCAAACATTTCGGAACCTTAAAGCACTCGTGCTTTAATGTGACCAAGGCAAAGAGAGTCCTAGGTACACATACCAAGAGAGATTTTCTTTAAAAAGCCTAGACATTTTGTGCAGAACAAAAAGTAAAGTTCAGCCAAAAAGGTGATCTATTGGCTGGAAAATCTGACACATAAAGCTACATTTTGGATTACATACTGGTCACTATCCACTGGTTAATAGACGTTTTAAATGGGATTACCTCCAACGGATCCATTTCAAAATGCATATAAATACCTTCATTCAAGACTGAAGAATGCATGTGCTAGGCCATTAATTGAGAAATATTCAAGTGTTCAAAGCTTTCAAAGTTCTATATTTTGTGACTAGTTAGAGAGAGACAAAAGCTACAAAGTTATATCCAGTTTTAGAAGCTTGGGCTGCTCAAACGTGAAGATCAAGATCAATATTTTAAGAGCCAAGACTTCTGGCTGGTTGGAGAATCAAAGAAACCTTTCCTTTGAAAACTTGTATCTCTACTCGGTAGGAGTAAAAAGAGGTAGAGTAAACTCGTGTTGAATTGAAAAACCTATGAAACTCAAGGCTGCACTAGTACAAACTTGAGAAAAAATATTAGCATATTAGCATATGTTGTTATAAAAAAAGGTTGCTGAAACACGCACGGTGGCATTAGTTGTTGTTAACCTCATTCCTTAATCATTTATAAAGCATAATAGTTAGTTAATTAGTAGTAATTACTACATAATAATTTGGAAAGTTAAATGTAATTAACAATTATTTGTAATTAGTGTTTAATAATAATTGATTCAAAATGATTTCTTAATAGTGAGTAAATAATGAAAAATAATAGTTTAATTATTAGGAATCATAAAAGTTATGAAATTAAAACGAAAAGGATGGAAGACAAATGAAAGTGGGAAAGAATTAGGGTTTAAGGTATTTATAAAAGGTAAGTCCTAAATGTATTCATTTGTATTTATTTATCGTATTATACCCGTATAATGTACCGTATTCTGCTTGGGGAAAAACATATAAAGATAAAAATGCATTCTTGGAATTTTCAATTTTCATTTGATGATTAGTTGTTGAATTCATGATGTTTTACGTTAACATGGTGAATTCAGCAACTAATCATCAACTAGTCATGGCGATTAGGGTCTCAATTGTAATTTTTTGAGTTCGATGATCCAATTACCTATTTGTGAATTATTCCAATTATAAAATAATAGTCATTTATGCTATTTCATGTTCTAAATTCACTATAAGATTATCTCATTCAAAATATAGTAAAAAATGTATACTTCAACATAAAATGCTAAATGTTCAGTACTCACAAACTTTCTACTCTCTAATGTGACCAGTTTTAATACCTTTGTTTTTTTTCTTTTTGTTATTTCATTTTGAAATAAAAAAGAAAAGGAAAAAAAAAACAAAAACAAAAGTATTAAAACTTTTCATATTAGGGAGTGGCAAGTTTGTGAATGGTTTATGTAGGGGTAGATAGTCTTATCATACGTGACACGTTTACGTAACAAATTATCTTAAATTATAAATTTCACAATTTTGTGACTTTTAGTTTTAAATCAAAATAGACTATAAACTTGTAACTTGTAAGCGCTCATGGCCTAATGGATAAGGCATTTGACTTCTAATCAAGCAATTGTGGGTTCGAATCCCATTGGGTGTGTAGAAATCTAAAAAAAATTATTAATCACGTTAGTCACAATTACATGATGTCATGAAACTAGAAATATATTTTTCTTAGTTATTTATTTGATTTTTCAGAAATTATTTGTGACTTGAATACATCTACGAAAAGCCTATTCGAAAGGCTTACAATATGTTACAATTCTATTAGGGTCGTAACAACAAGCTTGATTACATGATGTCATGAAACTAGCAACGTAACTAGAAATACATTTTTCTTAGTTATTTATTTGAGTTTTCAGAAATTATTTGTGACTTGAATACATCTACGAAGCGAAAGCCTATTCGAAAGGCTTACAATATGTTACAATCCTATTAGGGTCATAACAACAATCTCGTGCATCTACCCTTTGTCTCCATGATCTTTGAGGGCTCTATAGGCTCCATGCTCAGGGCATTCTGATATGTCGATCTGCCCAAGCTACAAGTGTCTTGTTGTGTCTAGTCGTTGGCCATTGTCTTCTTGTCCCGTGGGTAGGATTTGAGATATTTGGAGCTTTTTGCAAAAAAGGAGTTTCTAGCGACGTGTGGTCTTACATGGTCTTCCTTCTATCACTGTAGGCTTGGATTTTTGGATTTTTCAAAACTAGTGGGACTCAGGTAGACACTTCACTACCATTGGGGTTTGGCCATTGGATTTTTAGAGTGCATGGAAGGCTTAGTTTTTTTTTTTTTTTTTTTTTTTTTTTTTTTTGATAATTGGTTTGACTCTTTAAATTAAGTAACCAGTTTATTATCTATAGTCGGTGGGGAGGGGGGGGGGGGGGGTGTAATTTTGTCATTTCTGCCATCGATGTATCTGGTAAGGTAGTAATTCTTTGTTTCGTTCTTCTGTGCTTTGGGTTAAATTATTTTTCCTGTTGTCGTTGGCAGTTGTAGTGTTTGTTTGAATCGCAGGTTCGACTACATTTACTAGGGCTTCTTTTTTCAGTCTAAGGTTTGTATAGGCATTTGATTTCTAGTGGGTTTATTGTTGGTTTGGGGTGTAGGGGTGTCGCGTAGTGGTCAGTTGGTTTGTTGGTGTAATTGTATTATTGTTTCCTTCTTCATTATCTGTCAATTTTTTTTTTTTTTTTTTTTTTTTTTTTGTAATTAATTTATATTATAAAGCTCTTGTGTTCATTAATAGCAGTGTTGAATGCTCGTTGAGTCGTGGTTTGGGCAGTGTTAGTGTATTAGCATCTGTTGTTATAAAAAAGGTTGCTGAAACACGCGGGCACGGTTGTAATTTTTTAAATAACTTAAAACATCTGTTGTTCGACTAAACAGATGCTAGAAGTGTATTTAGAAAAAAAAAAGACAAGTACTCTAGCGTCTGTTTTCAGAGCAACAGGCATGTCCAATTTTTTAAATATAATTTATCTTATAAATTATAAACCTTATTGTTTCTTGAATCATAAACCAAAACCCTAGCTAGATTTTTCGGCGCCTCCTTCCGATCTCTTCTCTACCACGAATCTCTCTCTAAACAACCGACCACCCCAAACCTCCACAAATATCGCTGGCGACCTAGCTAAACAGTAACCACAAACCAGAGCAGTGGTGACGAGCTTTAGTTTCACAAATCTCGCCGGCGACCTAGCTAAACAACGACTACAAACCAAAGCAACGGCGACAAGCTTCGGTTTTGACACAGCCAGCGACGAGTGTGAGAGTAGCGGTGTGAACTTTGACTTTGAGCACCGTCAACAGGGATGAGCACTTTCTTGCAGCGACCTTACGTACATCGGAGTGTTTTTCATCTTTTTTTTTTCTTTTATTTTTTCTAGATTTTCCACATGTTTTTTTAAAATCAGATTTTACTTGTTTTTTCCTAGATTTCTACATGACACTTGAGCAAGGCGGCATAAGTAGGATCGGGGTGACGTAGGGACGATGTGAGCAGGCCAGCATGACCGGGGCATGAGGGTTGGTGTTGCCACATTATCTACAAACATTGTCTCTTATAATAATTCTTTAGGATTTCTCTTCTTCCAGGAAAATAAGCTTTGATCATATGCTAGCTGAAGGTAACATATTTTGAATCATATATAAACACAGTTGTTGTTTTGTTTTGTTTTGTTTTTTTTTTTGTTTTTTTTTTTTTTGCTTTGGGATACAAAAATAGGACGCTTTTGAAAAGTGTGCATATATAGGAAAAGTGTGCATATATAGGAAAAGAGAACACACTCGCAGAGGCCTCGTCAATATGCTTCGGCTTCTTCTTGCTCCGTTCTAGCAGATCTGCTTCTTCCGTCGACCGTTGGCCCGAGAGTGTTCTCATCGTTCCTTCACGCATTGTATCCCAAAGTGTGCATATATAGGAAAAGAGAACAATGTTGTTGATTGATTTGGTATCTGTATGCCTTCGGTGTGCCCTTTCTGGCTCAGTGTGTGCGCAAGTCTTGAGCATTGCCTTTTGCTTTGCAGTAGAGCTCGTGAAGTTTGGATCCACTTTGGAGGTTTTTTTGGGTTATCTTTGCTTTCTCCAAGTTCAGTACGCGCAGCATGTCATTCTTGGTGGCTACTTCCCTCTTCCACTCCCGCAACTTGCCACATTGTGCGTTTAATGCTGTGCCTTTTGCTCTGGTTTATTTGGATAGCGTACAATGAGTTCCTCTACGATGGTTCAACCTTCTCGCCTTTAGGCTTAATTAAGCGAATAGGTCAAGAATCAATGCTCATCTCCCTCGCTCGCTCTATCTGTGGGCTTGGTTCTGTAGACAATTTCCTTCTTTCAGTGGGACTGGTTGCCAGATTTGATGCCCCGTTGCGAAAACAGTCTATTTTGGTTAAGTGGCTTGTACCGCCGTCAGGGAGGTTGAATATGACACCCGTAAATCCAAAATCTACTTAAGGATTAATTAGGCAATTAATCCTAGCTTATTTGGTAATTTATTCCTAAAATCCTGAAAATTCAATAGTCGGAGGACTAGAAATTGACTAGTCAATCGAAGTCAAAGAGTTGTACTCTATGCCTTATGAGTTGTTCCCTTATCTCCTTATTCTCCCAACTTTAGTAAGGGCAAAGAAGTCTTTTTACCTTATGTTTGTGCCCCAAGCTAACCTAGCATCATCCATTCATTTCATTCACTAACACCCTAAACACAAAAGCTCCACCTTCTCTCTAGAAAATTGATAGCTTCTTTTTCAAGACAAATTTTGGGTGTCTTAAATCCTACAAGTTGGTCTCCAAGATTCAAACCTTCCTAACCTTGAGCATAGAGGAGGGTAAGGTCCTTGATCTCTTGGTGTTTTTAGTATCTTTTTAGGTATCTTTTTCTAAAGATAGAATCTTTGTTGTCTTTTGGTTTGTTTGTAAAGTTGAAGTTGAAGGAGATCTTTAAGAAAAGCTTTAAAGGTGTGAAAAGTGAAGTTTTAGGCTACAAGAGGTAACCCATGCTTTACAAAATCTATTTTCTTACCTATATGATAATTTCTTGACTTCTACTTGTGATTTTTGTTATGAAATGTGAGTTTTGATGCATTGTCTTGTGGTAATGCATATCTAGAGCTTGTTATTAGGGTTCTTGTATACCATTGCTTGGCTATTTCTTGGGTTCAAGTCATATTGTTGTATTGTGTGAGATTTTGGGTGTTTTGGACTTGTTGTTGAAAATCCACGAAGGGATTATTTTGTGGTACAGGGTGTACCCGCGGGCGGAACGGCGGGCAGAGCTCCACCCGTCGCCCCACCCGCGGGGTACTTATGGTTTTGGGCTTCGGTTCCCGCTGGCGGAACCACGGGTGGAGGTCCACCCGTGGCTCCACCCGCGGGGTACAATGTGGATGTTGCCCGGGGATTTGTTCCACGTGATTTTTTTTGACTCGGTAATTGATGTTTGACCTCCCGATGTTGTTTTATTGGGCTATTTGAGTGTCTTCTTGATGTTTCGTATGTGGGAAAAGATTTCCAAGGACAAGCACTTCGATGTTTCAAGTTCAGGGAGAGAGGACATAAGGCTGCCATTTGACCTCTTCAAGCTTACCAAAGAGCTTTGCCACCTAGTTCAGGATCCGGTGGAGCAACAGGAGGGAATTCAAGCCGAGGGGCAGCTGGAGCTAGACCTTCGGGTCGTGTGTTTTTGATGGGTTGATCCCAAGCTGAGACAGAGGGGTTGGTCGAAGAAGAGATAGCAGGTAACCCCTTTCTAAGCCTATCTTTATCTTGAGAGTGTGTCTTTCCTTGTTGCGTTATTTCCTTGTTATGTGATCCTTGATGGTGTTTTAAGTGAGTTTCTTTCGTGAGTTAATTGTTTATTTCTGGGTGGCTTGTGCTTGTGTATTTCCGTGGTCTTGTTTATGCTCTTTCAACTCGACCATTTTCTTTTGGGTCATCTAAGTTTAATTGAGTACCCTTCGAATTTATAATAGACAAAATCCTAAAAATCCCTTTCTTTTGTGGCCTAAAAAAACTAAGAAAGTTTCATTTGTAACCACTTAGTTTTGAACTCGGGTGTGTAAATTACCAATATTACCTTTGAACCACTTGAACTAATTATATTTCTTGAACTTTTTCCCATCTAAATTCCATTTAATCCATAATTTTTCCACTTTACCCAAAAATCCCCAAATTAAAACCTTCTTTCTCCCAATTTTCCCCAAAATTTCCCAAACCCTCCATTGTTCTCTTCCACCCGTGAGATGCCCGAAACCCCACCCCTACCCGTAGAACAGCCCCTACCCATCGACCCACCCCCTTGCCGACGCCGTCCAGCCCTCACCGCCGATGCCACCTGCAGCCCAACACCACCACCTGCTGCCGACGACATCGCCGCCGTGCCCTGCTGCCAGTTTGCCGAGAAGTCGAGAAAGAGACGAAAAAGAGGAGAAGAAGAAAAGAAGGAGAAGAAAGCTTTGGGTTTCCCTTTGAGTTTTTGGGTCATCTCAGAATCATGCCGAGGAGGACTAACTTGACGAGAAGAGTGGAATGGGTGGATGCCCACTACCTTGTGTTTGAAGGTAAAACCTGTAATCCTGATTCTTTTTCATGTTCCTTGTTAGAGATGTTGAACTATCAGGGTCTGTTGGATGGGTTTCTCGCCATCAGGGTTGAGACTTACCCGAGTTTGGTGAAGGAGTTCTACCGTCACATGGTTGTGACTAAGGATGGTGGAAATTTGGAGGTTGCCTCTAAGGTGAGAGGTGTGAAAATTGTTTTGTCTGAGAAGAGGTTGGCTCAGCTTTTGAGTCTGACCACTACGGGAGTCTCACAGTATAGTGGTAACTCTTGGATTGGGACGGATACCATGGGTTATCGAGACTACTTGAGTTATCTCTTGGGACAGACTAGTGGTTTTACCCAGGCCACGAGGCCAGAAAGGAAATGGTTGACTGCTGAACAAAGGATCTTAGTTATGCTTGTTTCTTACTGCATGTTGCCTAATAACAACAAGAGTCGTCTGTTGGGAAAGTTAGAGTGCACTTCTGCCTTTTGCTTGAAGAATATGGTGAAGTTAAACCTGCCTGCTTTAATGTTGCAACATATGGTCTTTTGCCCAGATCATAACCGAAAGATCTACCGTATGGTATGGTTTTGAGCTGGATTTTTGCCAAGAAAGGAGTAAGTGTTGACGGTTGTGTACCCAAGCCAGTGGGTAAAATGGTGTTGGATGTCACAAACCTGCGAAGTTGTAACCTGTTTCAGATTGAGGACGAGGAGTACATCACGCTTGAGGAAGTTGCCAGAAAAACCCCCGCCGAGAGGAGTGTGTTAGTTGCAGAGTTAGATATCCCTGTTGGGAAGTTGAACCTCGCAGTTCAGAGTTTAGGAGGAGATGCCGAGAATGATGATGATGAGGACCAAGAAGAAGGAGAAGGTGGGGATGAAGCCAATGAAGCCGAAGAAGCGGAGGAGGAGCAACTCTGAGGATGAAGAGAATCTAAGAAGGAAGGAAACCAGGACCAAGAGGGAACATGACGCCATGACACACGAGGAGAGTGTGGTCACCCTTCTACACCAGCAGAACAAAATGGTAGAGGAAGGTTTTGCTTACATGAAGACGCAGTTCGTTGCGGTCAACCTGAGGTTGGACCAGCTTGAAGCCGGTTCTAGCAAAGGAAGATCCGATGAAGATTCAGACGAAAACACCGAGGAGTCGGAGAGCGAGTCATTCCAGTTCGGAGTTGTGGTAATCTCGTCTTCCTTCCCTCGTTTGTTGTTATCGTTATGTTGTTGCCGCTTGTTAGTTGTGTTGTTGTGTGCCCCGTGTTATCTTTTCTGCTTGTTAGTTGGGTTGGAGTAGGTAGTTTTGTGGGTTGTTTTACTAGAATCTAGTTGTTTAGAACTCTAGTGTTGTTTAGAAGGCTTTTTTTTTTTTTTTGAAAACCAAACAACTTTGCATTACTGATTTAACAAGTTGGAAATACAATCCGGTGGCACTAAAGACCACGAGCCCGAGACAGCCGATGAACCAGTCGCCCTTGCTAACACGTGGGCTACTCGATTCGCTGACCTCCTGATATGGCGAACTGACACGTTCCCAATATCCCTAGCAATCAATTGACATTGCTTAACAATCGTACCTATGTAAGAGTTATCTACTAAACGAGAATTGAAAGCAATACAAAAATTTAAACAATCTGTTTCAATTATTAAACTATTTTGACCTATGCCTTTCAACCATGTAAGAGCTTCTTTAATCGCAACCGCTTCTGCCATATAGGGATCGATGTCACATTCCAGGCGTCCACATTTAGCTGCCATGAACCGCCCATCTTGATCACATACCACTGCGCTGTAGCCCACCCCATCCTCGAACGTTGCCACGTCTACGTTACATTTCACTTGGTTTGCAGGTGGTGCCTCCCAACTTGCAGGTGGAGTTGCTGCCGGACTCCCACGTCGAGTTTTACCGTATGAATCGTTCCATATTTGTTGTAGATTCAACACTTGAGGCAACAACACCGTTGTATTGCAACCCACATTGCGCCACAGCCGATCATTACGTGCATTCCAGACTACCCAAAAAATGGCAGCCATGCGAACAGCTTGGCTGGTATCCCCTGATTCCATCATATACTGCATGAATTGTTGTACCGAACGGCCGTGTAAGATATCCGCATTCACCCCATAAATTGCTTGCCACCGTGCAATCACACATCAAGTGTTTGACAGTTTCTTCTTGGGCTACACAAAGTGAGCAGCCTCCTCCAATCCATACCCTTTTCGACTTGAGATTTTCCTTCACTGGTAAGACTCCGCGTGCGCATCGCCATAGTAAATTGCGAACCTTGGGTGGAACCGGTAGACGCCACAAGGCTTTCCAGGCCGAGAACCCATTGATGTCTTCATGACTGGCCGTCGCCTCTGTGAGCAACCTATAGCCATGTTTAACCGTATAAAGTCCCCGTAGGTCGCCTTGCCACCTCCATGTATCGCTGAGGTGTACACATAAAGGAGTTTCGAGGATCCGTCTAGCATCATTCTCCTGAAAAATGTCTCTGACGAGTTCAACATCCCATTCTCCAGTGTCTGTTAGCAGCCCGTTCACCTTTGCGTCCTCATGCCCCAATAAACACGGAGTGTCCAGGTTCGGATGCGCGGAGTTGGCCAACCATGGCCACCCCCATATTCTCGTGTCCGCTCCATTGCCTATCCGCCTTGCTGCCCCGAGTCGTAACACTTGGTGACCTGCCAATATGCTACGCCAAACGAAGCTTGGATTACTCCCAAGCTTTGCATCGAGAAAGTCACACATAGGGTAATATTTGGCTTTTAGAAGCTTACTGACCAGAGATTCCGGATGCACCATCAGTCTCCAGCCTTGTTTAGCAAGCAGTGCAACATTGAATTCATGCAATTTTTTAAAGCCGAGTCCTCCGCGAAACTTCGGGGCACAAAGCCGAGTCCAACTTAGCCAGTGTATCCCTCTGCTGTTTGTATTACCTCCCCCCCACCAAAATCTGTTAAACAGCTTTTCTATAGAATCACACACGCTCAAAGGCAGTAAAAAAACCGACATTGTAAAAATCGGGAGAGCTTGTGCTATGCTTTTTAGCATAATCTCCTTACCGGCTTTTGATAGAAATTTTTGATGCCATGCCCCCATACGTTCCCGAACCTTTTCCTGTATGAAATGAAAAGTCTCCATCTTATTTCGGCCCAGTACTGAAGGCAGCCCCAAGTAGCGGCCAAGATCGGGAGATTCACGCACCCTTATGCAATCCGATACCGCTTGTCTACAAGCCGCGGTGGTGTTAAAGCTGAACATGGCACTTGATTTCTCAAAATTAATGTGCTGTCCGGACGCCGCACTGTACTCTTCCAAACAATCTTTCACTTTCTGAGCTTCCCCGCTAGTAGCTTTGAAAAACAGCAAGCTGTCATCGACAAAAAAGAGATGAGTTATAGGTGGCGCTCCACGTGCCACGCGAACACCATAAATTGTCCCTGCTGCTTCAGCTTGTTGTAGTAACAAAGATAGCGCCTCTGCACATAGTATAAATAGATACGGGGAAAGAGGGTCGCCTTGTCGAATGCCTCTAGTAGGACAAACCTGTCCCACCGCACCCCATTCACCTGGATAGTATATTTGACAGTTGATACGCATAGCATAAGCAAATTCGTCCACCGTTGTGCAAACCCCATTGCCTCCAACATACCCTGTAGGAATCCCCATTCCATTCTGTCGTAGGCCTTTGCCATATCCAACTTCAAAGCTGCCCAGCCCATAGCTCCATTCGTTTTGCGTCTCAAAAAGTGGCCAATTTCCCCTGCGACAATTATATTATCCATTAACAGTCTCTCGGGCACGAATGCGCTCTGTGACTGTGAGACCGCATTTTCCAGGACCGGTTTCATACAGTTGGCTAGGACTTTAGCCAACACTTTATAAGCCACGTTGCACAGAGCAATCGGGCGTAAGTCTGAAACTCTCTCGGGCGTCTTTTTCTTAGGAAGAAGTACCACATTAGCATTATTTAAGTCTTGTGGAAAAGTATCTGTTTCGATACAATTTAACACGAACATGGATAAATCGTGATCCACTATCGGCCAAAAATGCTGATAGAAGGATGGGGACATACCATCCGGGCCCGGTGCCTTCTCCGGTGCCATAGAAAATAAAGCCTCTTTGATTTCCTTAACCGTAAACGGTTGAAGGAGCAAATCGTTCATATCCGCTATTATCCGCCGATGGACTCGGCCAAAGATAGCAGGGTTATTGTATTCAGCATGGAAAATAGCGTTATAATACCTTAGGATTTCGTCGTGCATATGGACCCCCTCTTGCCATACACCATTCGAGTCTTTAAGCCGTGTGAGAAAATTTTTGCGGCTTCGGATTGAGGCAGCCTTATGAAAATATTTGGTATTCCGGTCCCCATGTTCCAACCATAGCTGTTTAGATCGTTGTTTCCAAAACAACTCCTCTTGGCTCAACAGCACTTCGAGCTTTCCCTCCGCGTCCAGAAATTCGGCTATGGCTTGCGTATCTCTGTTCTCCCTTAACCGATCCATACGGTTACGAAGTTTAGTAATTCGCCGGCCGAAACGTCAGAAATGTTCTCCACCCAATCTCATCAATTGTTGTCCACATAAACGAATGCGTTGCAGGAAATCCAGCCCCATAGAATGACTCCAGGCTTGTTCTACCACCCGACTACACCCTTCTTCAAGTAACCAAGCTGATTCAAATCTGAATGACTTTCTGGCACTACGTACCGGTCTCGCTTCAATGTCTAAAAGAATGGCACTATGATCGGAGTATTGAACCGACACTTTACGTACCGCCACCTCCTCATAGCATTCCATCCACTCTATCGATGCCACTGCTCTGTCTAGCCTTTCCTTGACCCAATTACTCGTACCATGTCCCTTATCCCATGTGAAACGACCTCCAACCATTCCCAAATCCACTAGCTGACAGTCATGTAAAGCTTCACTAAACCCATCAATCAACGCCGCTGGGTGCGAGTGTATTCCCCGTTTTTCTGAAAGACACGTGATGTCGTTAAAATCGCCTATGACGATCCAAGGTAAATTAGATTGTCCCTTAAGTCTCCGAAGGAGATCCCAGTTATCCCTTCTGTTTGATCTATCTGAATCACCATAAAACCCTGTTAACCTCCAATCCGGCTTGCCTGGGAGTGATACTACCACATCAATATGGTTTATTGAATAATTGATCAGTGATGCCATATTTGTGTCCCTCCAGAATAAAGCCAGACCTCCACCCATCCCCACTCTATCAACTCCAACCATACCCTCAAAACCTAACTTCACTTGTATCTGTTCCAATTTACTGACAGTCGACTTCGTTTCCATCAAGAAAACGAAGTTGGGTTGCTGCTTGGACACAATGCCCAAGAGTTCACGAACTGTCCGGGTGCTACCCAAACCCCGGCAGTTCCAGCTCAAAATGCTCATTGGACCGGGCGAGCCTGGTCCACCAGACCCGTCGAATCAATTGATTTCCCGGTTTCTGCCATCAACACATCGTCCTCCCTCATAGAACCAATTATATCACCATCCCCCCTACGCCGTTTGAGATCCCCCTGAATACCCCCAGCCTCCTCCAGCGTAACCAATTCCGGGGGAGTGTGTTTGGGTCCAGTTTCTGCGATTGCAGTCGGTACCCGACCAATGGAGGGTAAGAGCCATTTAGCCCCAATTGGCTTGGCTTGGCGTCTAACCCCAACCCTCATCCACGAACCAAACGGGAAGCAGTCTGGCTCGATTCCCTCCTCATAAACCCTCTTACAGAATTTATCAATGTGGCCTAAGAGGCCACAACAAAAACAGAATGCGTTTAACCTCTCATACCTGAATGTAAGCCATTGTGTGTCGCCATCCTTGCGACACAGTTTCATCCTGCGTTTCAGCGGAGTGTCGACAGCCATTTTCACCCTGACTCTAAAATAGCTTTTCCAATTGCCCCCGAAATTGAAGGGATCCTCCGCCACGAATTCTCTGATATGGTTCCCAATTTGAGCAATGAATTCCGGTGACACATACATTGTTGGTAATCCATGGATTTGAATCCAAAACAGGACAGAATCGAGAGCGACATCTTCTGGTCTCGTCCCCTGGGGTACCGGGGCGCAAATCAGCGTCTGGTTCTCGAAAGACCATGGGCCATCATCGAGGACCCTTTGTCTGTCTTTCGGATGCGGGAATTGAAAAAGGAACAGGTTTTCCTCCAAGGAGATCGCGTACATACCCATCACTGGGCGCCACACGGACGCCATAAGCTGTTGCATGTGGTCAAATTTGATCGGTTTGTCGGTGAGAAATCGCCCCACCAATGTCCAGTACTCGCCGGACCCAGACGGAATCTGGGGATCGGGTGCTGCCAGCCCCCCTATCTCCTCTTCCGCTATCGACAAATTCGTGCATCGGTCCTCAATTGACTGCGTATTCATGGTGGTGAAGCCGAGACACAGAATTATGAGTGTGATCGTTGCTCGGAAATAGCGAATGCTCTGGCTGTGTCGAGATTGCGATTGAAACTCCATTATATACCAAACAGAGAAAATCCCTAGATTGCTAGGGGGAAAACTCCCTTAGCCACCGCCAAGAGAGAGGGCCACGTTCGGAGGCACGATCAGAATACACGATCGCCGATCACGATCGGAGAACGCGAGGAGTGCGGAGCTTCTTTTTTTTTTTTTTTTTTTTTTCTCTGAGAGTTATTATTATTTGTTTAGAAGGCTTTGGTCGTTGAGTTTTGGCCTTAAGTGTTTGTTGTGCTCAGGGAATTTCGTTGGTAACTTCTTGCAATGCTATGTCTTCTTGATAATTTTATGCCTTTTTGAATTCTTGAAGTTTTGGTTATAAGATGTTCTTGTTTTCCCTTGTCACATTGTTGGTCCATGTTGCCGTTTTGTTTGAACTTGTCGTACCCAAGCTTTGGGGACGAAGCTTCTTTTAAGGGGGATAGGATGTGACACCCCGTAAATCCAAAATATATTTAAGGATTAATCCTAGCTTATTTGGTAATTTATTCCTAAAATCCTGAAAATTCAATAGTCAGAGGACTAGAAATTGACTAGTCAATCCAAGTCAAAGAGTTGTACTCTATGCCTTATGAGTTGTTCCCTTCTCTCCTTATTCTCCCAACTTTAGTAAGGGCAAAGAAGTCTTTTTACCTAATGTTTGTGCCCCAAGCTAACCTAGCATCATCCATTCATTTCATTCACTAACACCCTAAAAACAAACGCTCCATTTTCTCTCTAGAAAATTGATAGCTTCTTCTTCAAGCCAAATTTTGGGGTGTCTTAAATCCTGCAAGTTGGTTTCCAAGATTCAAACTTTCCTACCCTTGAGCATAGGGGAGGGTAAGGTCCTTGATCTCTTGGTGTTTTTAGTATCTTTTTAGGTGTCTATTTCTAAAGATGGAATCTTTGTTGTCTTTTGGTGTGTTTGTAAAGTTCAAGTTGAAGGAGATCTTTAAGAGAAACTTTAAGGGTGTGAAAAGTGAAGTTTTAGGCTACAAGAGGTAACCCATGCTTTACAAAATCTATTTTCTTACCTATATGATGATTTCTTGACTTCTACTTGTGATTTTTGTTATGAAATGTGAGTTTTGATGCATTATCTTGTGGTAATGCATATCTAGAGTTTGTTATTAGGGTTCTTGTATGCCATTGCTTGGCTATTTCCTGGGTTCAAGTCATAGTGTTGTATTGTGTGAGATTTTGGGCGTTTTGGACTTGAATTTGGACTTGTTGTTGAAAATCCACGAAGGGATTATTTTGTGGTACAGGGTGTACCCGCGGGTGGGGCGGCGGGCTTCGGTTCCCACGGGTGGAGGTCCACCCGTGGCTCCACCCGCGGGGTTCAATGTGGATGTTGCCCGGGGATTTGTTCCCCGTGATTCTTTTGACTCGGTAATTGATGCTTGACCTCCCGATGTTGTTTTATTGGGCTATTTGAGTGTCTTCTTGATGTTTCGTATGTCTTCAATCGTGCCAAGCGTTCAACTTCGTGATTTGTTAGACCATGATGAGTCTTGTATGTTCTACGGAACTATGTTCGATTTACCCGTTTGATAAGCATGCTAGTTTGATGTTGAAATGCTAGCGTGTGTGGTTTGTCCTTTCTTATGGAGGTTGGCAACTTGTGTTGACCATCGTTGGTGTAGGATTGTAATCCTTCCTTGTTGAGTATGGTTTCATATCTTTGTTGTGATCCATTGATCGATTCCTGTGATGAAAACATGTGTTTTGGCTATACCTTGATTGCACGATTAAGGGTATTGGACCTTAATCACCAAGGTACAGATGTAGTCCTCGTGGTGGCCATGAATGAAATTGGTGGTGTGACTTGAGCTTTGCTCACTTGTTGGTGGTTGTGTGATTGAAATGAACGGTACCCTCGTGTACTATGTGTAGGTGGAAATGTTGGTGGTTGTAGGTGGGGGAACGATGGTTCCCGGAGGCATAAGGTTGGACTCAGAAGTACAGGGGTTCTCGGAGGTAATGGTTGGAACTGTAATAAGGCCGGGGGTAGCCATAAGGTTGGAACATGGCATAAGGTTGGAACTTGGAACTATGATTCTCGTGACATGAAGTGTCACTATGGCATGTAGTTGCCAATGATTGAATGTCTATTCTTTGTTAATGAGCATGTCGAGTGGTATTCTACTTTGTGATCAGTAGATTACGCCTCGAGTTGTATTTGGTTATTGTTGTTGTTCTTGTCTTGGGATGTTGATTTCCCTTGTTCCTTTGAGAGTGAAATAGAGTCTTTGCAGTTGATTTCTCTCTAAGACTTTTGAATTAATATATACTGTACCCCGTTTCGAAAATGGTTTTGTTTTATACTATCTATATATGTTACTTAACGCGTATTGATGGGTTACCAGCAATGTTCGCTGACCGGACGTCGTCCCCTTTCTTTATGTTGCTTTACAGGTCTTGAGTAGCTTATGACGAGTGCGCTAGCTGTTTGTTGTAGTGTAGCTCCCTTGGACTGTGTAGATAGTGCTTTGGGCCTGTGTGCCTTGGGTTGTCTGAACATGGATAGTATGTTTGTTAGACTAGCCTGTGCATCCACTTTGAGGTGGATGTGGCATAACACTTCCCGCTTTTCCCATTTTTAAATTAAGACTTCCGCTGTTGTTTATGTTTTATGCTACCTGTTAGTTACCTTGCCTTATGAATTTAAGTTTTAAAATTTCGTGAAAATCGAGGGTGTTACAGTTGGTATCAGAGCTTAGGTTTGAGCCTAGGATGTTAGAGTCTGGACTTTTAAGAAGTTAAGTGTGATTTGAGACCCTAAGGTGACCTTAAGTATCTAAGTGTTTAGGACTTAGTACTTCTAGGACGTGTGGTGAGCTGTGTGTTGTTTATCGTTTGTTTTGTTTGCCTTGTTGTTTCAGCTTATCTTAGTGTTCTTTTAGTTAGCGCCATGTAAGGGTGCGTTGTTGTTTGTGCCTACCGTAACCGTGTTGTTGTTGTAGAAGCTTTGTCATGGCACCACCTCGTTAACGCGCTCGTACGCCGGAGAAACCAACCAACGAGCAGCTAGCTCAGAACTTGCAACACCTCATGCAGACCATGCAAACCCTCAGTGAAGCTCTCCTGCACAATAATCATCCTCCTCCGCCGCCACAGCCTGCCGGACACCAGGATGTGGGACGCCTTGTATCGGGCCATAGACCCCCGACGTTCGCCGGAGAGGAGGACCCCGTCATGCTTGAGGAATGGATCCGAACCTTCGACAAGATCTTCTTCGTCGTTGGGTGCCCCGAAGAGC